CTTGAAGGGAAAATGCGGAAAAATGTTAAGCTGCGTGAAGTCGCTGGTTCAAACTCAAGTTTAAAATACTTAATCAAAAATTCATTTGAGACGTGTTGCACACTTTTCGTAATATTGAACTCCCTTGAAAGGCAAATGCTGCTTAAATATTAACTTGAGTGAAGTCGCTGGTTCAAACTCAAGCCTGAGTTTCTTGTCAAATTTCATTTGAGACGCGTTGCACACTTTTTGCAATATTCAAATCGCTTGAAGGGAAAATGTGGCTCAAAATTGAGCTGGGTGAAGTTGCTGGTTCAAACCCATGTCTAAGCTTTAATAACTTACAGTGGAAGCAAGCATTTTATATGCTTTATGGGCTCGCAGCTGGCTCAATGCGTTATGAGTAAAGTTGCTGGTTCAAACTCATTTTCGAACTGGCATTCGCAGCTGTCTCCATGCGCTACACATTTCATGACACAGTTAAAGGACTCTCCCGGGCAGCGTATAAAAACGTGTGCCACAAAAAGCTGCAGCCACGGGCCAGAGGCCAACAAAAAGGGAGGCAAGCGACTGAGCTGCCTGCCCCGCTGCTCAGCTGCTGCTGCTGCTGCTGCTGCTGCTGACAATATTTATGCAGCAGCAGCACCAACAGCTGCCCCTCCCCTCCCCCCTCCTTCCCCCTCCCATTACAGCAGCAACTGCCCCTCCCCCGCACGCTGTTGTTGCTATTTGTTTTTGCATTTTTGTTACATTTTACAGCTTTTGTTTTGCAATTTGCGCCCGCAAGCGACCAACTTTTCTGAATAAACTCTCCAACGATCGAACAGAGCTCTTCAATTGCTCGTCCCGCACTGAACCTGCCCCCCCCCCCTCCCCCCTGGCCGCTGCTACTGCTCCCTCTTGTTCCTGTTGTTGTTATTTTGTGGCTGTTTCCGTTTCCTCTTTGAGGCGTCGCAGCGCATCGATGGATTGTTATACCCTGTAACCAAGGCAAATGTGGGGTATGTTGCGTCGGCAACTCCTTAAGGTATACGAAGATATATACTCTATATAGATAAGCATGATTACCTCAGCTATATGAAAGGCAGCTAAGGTTTTTTGAGCATATCTCGAGAAATATAAGCGCTAGAGATACCAAATCTGGAATGTGGATTATTATTGGAGGATCGGAACATATCACAATTTAATTGTAATTCTAAACCAAAACTAATTTAAGTTGCAGAGCAATTCTAGAAAAGAAACCCGTAAACAAAAGCCGCGTACAAAATCAGTTCAATTCTGGAAAGTCTGGTAAAGTCTAAGAACTGCACTTGCATATAAGGTAGGGAAACTTATAGTCCATCAAATTCTATTAGCTAGCATTTTTGTCAATCTTAACTCTATATTTATATTTTTAAATTAGAAAAATGTTGAACAGATTAATATAAATTCTGAAATTTAGCTTGTAACTTGTAATTTCAACTTAAAATTTTCCATTTTTAAGATTCTCAAATCAGACATTCATAATAAATCTTACTATAAATTCCAAAATGGAACTTATCAACTTTATTGACTTTTCGTTTATTATTGGCATGATTTTTAGCAGAAAAACTACGCAATCCAAAATCTTTTTTGAATCCCAAATTTTTATCAAAAATTGAAATTTAAGGATACCAAATTGAAAAGTAAATATATCACTAAAGAAACTCATTTTCTTTCAGGTACAGTCTTGTGCTTTAGTATACGCACACATTTGTCTGTCAAGTCTAAGCCTTGAAAGTCTTATAAAGATCGAACTGTCAATAACCAAGTTATTGAAGAAGATAGGGATAAAGCACAGGGTATTTAGTAGTCGATCTCTTTTCCTTTAAGCCCGTAGTTGGTTTGCGTTGGTTACTTTACATTGCCGGCGCCGAGTGCACCGCAGAACGTGACGAAGAACAAAAGAAGGCACTTGCGACACTTTCGTGCTTCCTGCGCCACGCTCCTTTGGCGGTCCCGCCCCCTCCTCCTCCTGCCCCTCCTCGCCCTCCTCCACGTCCTCCTCCACCTCCTCCTCCTCCTCCTCCTGCCCCTGTCATATGTTCTCTTTATTATTTTTTACATGCTGCTCTTGTTGTATCCACAAAAAAGCACGCTTATAATAATAATGTCATTATGTATTGTCTAGAGCGAAAGTCTCAAAAAAAAAACCAAGCTCTTGTATTTTTCCTTTTTTTTCGAGTTTTTTTTTTTTGTGCTGCGCAAACTTTCTAACGAGCTGACAGAAATGTTCGTCAAATTTGGATCTCTTTTCTAGTTTTGTCTAGTTGTGTTTTCTCAGTTGCCAATTGGCAAAAAAAAAAGCTCTTCAGTCAAGTAAGTTCATTATTAGTTGGCGCTTTAACTGATTGAGAATTATAAGAGAAAATTGGTTTTGTGTGCAACAGTGTGTAAGAGGCGGAAGGAGGCATCTGTATAGTATATATATTCTTGATCAGGATCAATTGTCGAGTCGATCTAGCCAAGTCTGTCTGTCTGTCCGTCCGTTCGTCTGCCCGTCCGTCCGTCTGTCCGTCCGTCCGTATATACATACGGACGCAAGGATCTCAGAACCTATAAGAGCTAGAGACTTGAAATTTTGAACCTAGGTCCACCTAATGCCCGCGCATCACGACTTGCTTTCCGATAGTCGATAACTGGCCCCATTTTGCCAGCAATCGATATCGAATTCCTATGCCTCCAGCTCTCTCGGCTGCCTAATACGTTAATCCATTAATTCGCAGATGTTTCTTCTTTTTTTTCTATTCCGTTTCTGTTTATTGTTTTTATTGGTTTTCTTGCTTGCTTTTACAGTCTTTATATGATTCCGATATTTTGTGGCGCATCAATATTATCTTTTCATTAGAGAAATGCAAATAAATGCCCAAAATTAGTGAACGCCCACAGCTCAGACGAAGCGCTACCTGAAGCAAACCAGAAAACAACAACAACAACAACAAAAATCTTTTTCGAGTTCGTTTGAGTTTTGTTTATTTATCGGACATTTTTCTCGGGTCCGGGCAAAAGGTGTGTTTGCCCGGCTTTGAGTTTGTTTTTGCTATTTTATATATGTATATAAATAAATAATATGCGGACAAATATTTTCTACAAATATGCAAAGTCAATATTTGTTATAGAGCTTCCTTTTCGAACCTGTGTGGATAAATCCAAAGAAAGAAACGATACAAATTGTTCAAAGGAGGATATTTAATTATCTTTTTGCGAAAGGTTTCCTTCCTATACAGATTGAAAAGAGAAGGAAATAAAAAAAAAACAAGTAACAGGTTGTAGTCGGGTGCTTCCGACTAGGGGATACCCTGAACCTTCTGCTTCCAACAGGCGATAGCTATAAAATGAAAGAAACTTGATATATAAATACTATTCTAGAAGTTACATGTGAAGTTTGGTGACTCTAGCTCATATTACTTACCAAAACTTGGAAACGGGGCAAGTTATCGAATATCGGATACAAACTCGATCTGCGCATGGACTAGGAGGACCTACAGCTAAAATTTCAAGTCTCTAGCTCTTATAGGTTCTGAGATCCTTGCGTTCATACATACGGACAGACGGACGGAAAACCCTATTTACCCATCCAAAAAAGTACAGGGTATCGGTAGCATATGGAGCCACACTCTTGCCCCCCCGCGAGTAGTCAGTCCACTCACAGAACAGAAAACCAATTGGAGGCCGCATAAAAACTGAAGAGCCCAGAAGGAAATAAACATAACAATAAACATTCCAATTCATTTACAAATTAACACTTCATATATTTTACACGCTCAAGTGTCAGCGGGAGCAGCCAATTTATAAGCTGGCGATCCCCTCCCCCCTCCACCCCTCAAAAAAATACGCAGCTTATGCGCCCATATGGCCGCAGAACAGGAAGCTAATCCTGCTCCGTGATATATCAACATATTTATGGTAAATGGATCAGAGGGCTTAGCGCCCCAACAGTCGGTGGTTGTTCACCATATGGTTTCACTGTACAGAGAAGACTCGTTAAATTTTATGTACTTTCTGTGACGGCCAGCGGCTGTTTAATATTTGGTGAAAGTCTTTTAATGTTTAATAAACAATTATTAGACAATATAATATTGTATATGTGGCTGCTGTTGCTGCTGTGTTGTAAATCTTTTGATCTCGCGTTTGGGTGTATAAAAATAAATAAAGGCCAGGCGGGCGAACTTGTGTTTAGGTATTGTGCCAAGCAATTACGCATCGAATTCATTCGAATCATAACAATAACAGATCCAAATCCATCATCATTGCCAACGTTCGAGAAGAAAAACTGTTTGACATGCAATTCCGGGCAACAATTCAACCGAAGTTTTGTATATATGTAGGTCGGCATAATGCGCTTTGATGTGCATTAAGTTGATGCGGCTGCTGAATGAGCCCAGACTATTGCACTAAAGTAGTCGAAAAGGTGTCAGAATTTTTGGCAGTAGAACAGAAGAGACCCCTAGCACACGTTCAATTGATTAATAAAGCAATAATATTTTATAGAAATTCCAATAAATATGAAATTTTAAGTGTAATTATATAAATGTCTCGTTATTGTAAACTTATTTCATTTAAAATTTACACCAAGGCATCAAACCAGCTTAATATTGAATTAATAAAGCATAAAACTTGTAAATATTTAATTAAGCATTTTGGTATAATATAGAACAATTGGACATTCAGATAATCTTATATTAGTAGAGGTTATTTTATTTTATTTTAATGCTGTTCTGTTTATTTTTTGCCAATACAACTTTATTTGTTCACTTTCATTTCAAAACATGCATTTCCCCTTTTCATTCAAAACCGCAGCATTCAAATTGCGCGCCTTTAAAAAGTGCTGCCAATTAATCAAATGCTACTTGGCACACTTAAGAACGCACTTTACTTGGACACACTTCAATATCGATTAATAAATACTGCACTCTCCATGCAGTATTTGCGATACTATCGTCAGTTGAGCACCCGCCTGTCTATCGATTAATCGATAAGCGCGCACGCACGACACGCGCTCAACACTAACGCAAAGTCGCGAACAGCTGTTCGCAATTTCTGCAATTTAGATTTTTTTCTTGGCCACAGTTCAAAGTTGTTTTTTTATTATTTTAATGAATTTGTGTGTGAAACGTACAAAATGGAGCGCAAAGAAGTGGACACACAACAGTTCATCGACCACGTAAGCGTTCACCAATTGTATATGCCCAATGTATGTAAGCGTATTCTATGGACAGACGCTGCTGGCGACGGAGCTGATGCACAACAATTTCATGATGGATCTGATCGATCACACGGGCGTATTTCCCAAGACGGAGGGACCCACCAATCTGAGCACCACGGCCCACCACAACGACACCAATGCCGCCGCTGGCTATGTGGAAAAGCATACGCTAACGCCGCCGGAGCTCAATTTTCACAGTACGATTTTCCAGTTTGTCAACAAACATGTGGACGAGGAGGAAGAGGAGCAGGTGCAGGTGCAACAGGCAAACAGGACGCGTGCGGACGCAGTGCCCGCTTCGCCCGTCAAGGAGTCGGACGTGGAGTTTCTCACGCTCAACAGCAGCTTCCTCAGCCGAGCAGCTGCCGCGGCTGCAGCAGCAGCCGCAGCTGTCGGCAACGAGGTGGCGCCGCAGCAGGTGCCGCAGTCCGCCTACCCAGCGCTGGCCATTGAGCCGGTGCCGGTGCCCATCGATGATGTGCCGGACGAGGAGCTGCTCTACGGACACAATGTAAACGCAACGAATGCACGCAAGGTGCTGCCCCACAAGAAGCGCATCTCGCGCAAGCTGAAGGGCACGCTGCTGGACGCCGAGCTGGAGCAGCACAAGCATCATCATCATGTGGTGCCCCAAACGGTGGCCAATTACAGCTGCGAAATATGCGGCTATGCGGTGCACACACAAATCGAATTCTATGCGCATCTCAAGGAGCACTACGATCCGGGCAGCACGCTGCAGCAGCGCCTAGACGTGCCACAGCAGCAGCAGGTGCAGCAGCAGCAACAGCAGGTGCAACAACAGGTGCAGCAGCAGGTGCAACAACAGCAGAAGGAGCCGCTGGACATGTGCGGTCTGTCCACGCAAGATAAGGTAAGCGAGGCGAGGGGATGGAAAAGAAAAGAGGTAGAAGATGTTGGAGGAAGGGGCGACAACGAGAGGCAGGAGTAGGATCCTGCTAAATGAATGTCGCAGTGGCATGTTTGCTCTACTGTCCAGTTCCTCAAAGAGCAGCTGTCTGGAGAAGGCAGCCGGAAGAAGCTCCAGGGCGCATTCCGTCAGCTCTTAATCCGCACAGAAGTCCACTTGGAAGCCCTGCGGCCGTCTTCCAGCACTTGGTTAACGTTTAGCTTTGTATCTTTGTCCTTTGCCCCCTTCTTCATCGAGCATCTGATCCTCACCCGCTCCTTTTTTTCCAGCTGCAGCAGGAGCAGGCCAAACTGGATCAGGTTTTTCACGATGTGCAGCTCAATTTCGAGAACTTTCACAACATCAGCCACGTGGATGTCGGCGATGATGTTGTCGACGCTGTGGGCGTCAATATGGTTATCCATGCGGATGCCATGTCGCTGCACAAAGACGAGGATAAGTTGACGCCCGTTGCAAATGCGGCCGCAGCGAATCCGGTGCCCGTTGTGGATGACGTGGAGTTCAGCGACACGGAGGATATGCTGGAGGGCATACGCAATGTCGTGGACAAGGTGTCCATTGAGGACACCTGCGACGAACTGGTCGATCTGGAGCTAACGGCCAGCGGCATGCGCGCGCCCTGGTTCAATAACAATTTCTCCGACATTGCATTCTCCGGGCTGCTGCTGCCCGGCGAGCCGCCGCCGCCGCCGACTTCCACGCAGCCGCCGGCAACGTCCACGCATCCCATTGAGGCGGAGCAAATGACGTTGAGTTTTCAGCAGCCAACGGTGCAGCCCAAGCTGGAGATGGGCCACAAGAAAAACTACATTGAGGCAGCCGCAGCAGCTGCGGCGGCGGAGGCCGCAGCGGAGGCAGCAGCAGCTGCCGCGGCCAACGAACAAACTCCTCCTCCGCCCAGCGATGGCTCCTCCATCGAGCAGCTGCAGCGTTCGCCGCTAATGCTCAGCGCCGAGTCCTTTAAGCTGGAGGATGTGGAGGCCGCAGCGCCCGCAGCAAGCAGCTCGAACTCTTCGCCCGCGGCCCACTTGACGGACGACAACGCGGACAGCTATCAAATGGAGACGGACGAGAAGCCCGCCGGCGGCGGCGACGATGCGCCAGATGCGAAACGCAAGTTCCACTGCGACAAGTGCGCCCGGGACTTCAATTCGTACAATGCGCTCAAGTACCATCAATATACACACACCAAGGAGCGCGCCTTCCAGTGCGCCAGCTGCGAGCGATCCTTCTACACGCAGAGCGCGCTCAAGGCGCACGAACGTACACGTGAGTCGGGGCAGGACAAAAATACAGGGTATCTCAGAGTCTGTCTATACAAGAGCAGGATTACCTTCAAGTTACCCTCGATATATATTTTGTAGCTGGCATTTAGTATCGATAGAAGCTCTAAATAGTATTCCAATGTTCATTGTGATTTATATTTATCTCAGCTCTTGATTTTACAGTTGACTCAGTGTTCATATGGCAGCTATATAGCTTAATTATCCAATAGATGTTCTATATAGTTCTCCGATGTTGATGACGAATATATACATATATCTTAGCTCCTGATTGTTCAGTTTAGTCTTCATATTTTTAAAATCAAAAAGGTTTTCCATATAAAAAATGTAATTTCGTCTGATTCTTCCTTTGGCAGCTATATAATATTGTTATCCGATAGATGTTCTATATAGTGTTCCGATGTTGATTACGAATATATATATATTCCAGTTCTTAATTGTAATTTGGTCATAGTATTTTATAAATCAAAAAGATTTTTCACAAAAAAACTCAATTTTCATCTGATTATTCCTATGGCCCTTTATATTATATAGTTATCCGATAGATGCGCTATATAGTGTTCCGATTTTGATTCTGATTATATATATATGTCACTTTGTACACTTTGGTCAACATATTTCGAAAATCCAAACTTTTTTTTTATATAAAAACTCAACTTTCGTCTGATTGTTCCTATCGCAGCTATATATATATTGTATAGTTATCCGAATGAAGCTATATATAGTGTTCCGATGTTGAGTATGATTTTATATGTCTCAGGTCATAATTGTACAATTAAGTCTACATATTTCGAAAAGCAAAAAGTTTTTTCATATAAAAACTTAATTTTCGTTCCGATAGTTCCCATGGCAGCTATATAATATAGTTCTCCGATGAAGATAAGATTTTTCCTATATTTCAAAAACATAGTAAACCTCGATATTGCCCAGTTTCATTAAGATATCTTAAGACATCAAAGTTTTTCAGTCGATTATTAAATTCACGATACATTGTATCAATAGGAATGATATGATATAGCTGTGCGATTTTAAAAGGACTTTAGCAATATGTTAAAAGCATGCTAACTATCGTATTTGCCGAGTAAATATCGTATGTCGTATATCGTATTTGCATAGTAAATATCGTATATCGTATTTGCCGAGTAAATATCGTATATCGTATTTGCCGATTAAATATCGTGTGTCGTATTTGCCGAGTAAATATAGTATATCGTATTTGCCGAGTAAATATCGTATATCGTATTTGCCGAGTAAATATCGTATATCGTATATCGTATTTGCTTAGTAAATATCGTATTTTAGAATATCTTAGAAGAAGGTTTACTTTTCGATAAAAGATCCAAGTTTAACGATCTATTGCTCCCATGGGAACTATCTGATATAGGGGTCCGTTTTGGCTGTATAGAAAAAATACAATTCTAAGCGACAACTTGTCTATGAATAGAGTTCAGGACTCTAAAATCTAGTTTGGGATAGGCATAGAAATGCAGTAAAATCTTTTGTTAACGTTTTCTTCAATGCCCCGTTAAAATCGAAGCGAAAGCGAAGTTCGTAACAGACCTCTGGCTATTATAAATATATATTAATTATTTGCCCCTTTCAGATTCCGGCATCAAGCCCTACAAGTGCGAGAAATGCGATTTCAAGTTCCGGCAGTGGGGCGATCTCAAGTACCACATCATCTCGAGGCACAGCGAGGTGAAGGCGCACATGTGCGAATATTGTGGCAAGAGCTTCTCGCGGAAGTACTCGCTGGTTGTGCATCGACGGATCCACACCAGCGAACGGAACTATGCGTGCCAGTACTGTGGGAAAACGTTCCGGGCGAGCTCCTATCTGCTGACCCACATCAAGGTGCACACGGGCGAGAAGCCGTACGCGTGCGGCGTGTGCGACAAAAAGTTTCGCGTATCCGGCGATCTGAAGCGTCACACGCGGATACACGATCCGGCACGACAGGCCCAGGCTCAGCCGGAGACGGCGGCAAAGAAGCGCAACAAATTGAAGCAGATCGAGGATGAGGATGTCGAGGCGATCATAAACAAAAAGTCTGAAGCAATATGCGGCGATGCTGAGCAGGAAATTTTGGGCTTATAGCCAAATGACGAGGTTTCCACAAAATAGTATTAACCAACCCACAACTAACTGTGTGAAGAATGTAAATAGAACAAAAGAAAAACGAAGCTTGTAATTAACTTAAGTAGAGCTCCTAGTGGAACTATAATATGGACATAAACTAGGAAAGTCCCAAACAAGGTTATCATGAAAAGCGAAAAAGCAGACCAAACAAATTGTTAAAATATGTAAAAAGGGATAGAAAAACAAGATAAATTAACTGCATAAACATAATTAAAGTTAAAAAGTTTGTAAACATAACCTCAAAAAAGAAAAGCATTTAAATATAACATGGAAATAAACTCGTAGAGTCCCCAATAAGAATATCAATTGAAAGCAAATTGTTAAAATATGTAAAAAGGGATAGAAAAACAAGATAAATTAATTGCATAAACATAAATAAAGTTGAAAAGTTGGTAAACATAACCTCAACAAATTAATCGATAACAAATTAAATAACGTGATATTTGTACTTACCGTTAAGTATGTCAAACACGTTCAGACTGCATGATGATGCTTGATGGCTAGTCGAAGAAAATTCCTCATTTTTTTTCGCTTACTATTGCAGAGCATTTCTTTATTTTATTTTTCATCTCGTTTTTGTTTTCTTTTTGTAATAATTCTTTCTCTTTTTGCACTTGTACCGTTCATCGACTTAATTCTTAAGGTTGGTTTCTGTTTTTTTCGCCATTCATCTTGTTACTGAGTAATCATATATATATATATATATATTAAATATATATCGTAAATATTAATGTAACTATGTACAACACAAGTGTCCGGGCTGGCCCGAACCTCAATGAAATCTTTGTATTTTGTTTACAACTTAACTTGTTTCTCTCTTCCTTCACTTCTTCCTTTGTTTTTTTTTTCTTTCGTGTGTCTCAAAAATATTCAACATAACCTCCATATCTCTCTGTTTCCTCTCCTTCTTGATTTGTGTGCTTTATCGTTTTTTTTTCATTCTCACAATTTGCCTTCACTTTGAACTTAAAAACTAGAACCTAGTTGCGGTTGCTTCACTTTTGCTCTCTAACGTACGCTCAGTCCATGATATCTTCCATTCTCCATTTAAATATATATACTATATGTAATATAATTTCTTGGGTTTTTTCCTGCTGCTCGTTTAATTAAAAATGTTGAAAACTGCAATCCTAGTACCTTGCATTTTTGGATCTCTGACCGATCCGATTCTTGATGGAGTTAGTTATACTTTAAGTTTATTTTTTTTTTTGGTGGTGTGGATTATGCGCTCCTGGTAGTTTTCTGTGTGTGTGTGTGTGTGTGTGTGTGTGGGGTATACGGTTATTTGAAAAGATGTGTGTGTATGCGACTACTTTTTGGGATTGAACAGAAATGTTTTGCTTGCTTCTCGCTTTGAATATGATTTAAAATTAGCTTTACTTTGAATATCCTTTAATATATATATATTTGTGTATATATATATATATATATCTGTACTTAAAAATGTATGTTCTCTGCTTTTGCTATGGTTGCACACAAAATTACTGTTATTTTGGTTTAATATCGGCTTATTATGGATTTTGGTTTTTTGTTATTTTTCGCATTTTTGTTTTTTTTTTGTTTGTTTGTTTTTTTTTTGTTTTGTTTTTTGCTTAAGTTGACAAAGAAAATTGAATGCTGCTTTTACTAATACACATACACATATTGCGCCTGCAAATGTTTGCCAATTATTGTTTCTACAATCAATCAATCAATCCATCAATCAATCAATCAATGCCATTCAAACATATTTTAAATCCAGAACTTTTTTATCCATAGATGAATGCTTTTTGTGTTGGCAGCTTTTTGGTTTTTTTCTCTTTTATGTGTTTTTCCATTTCTTCTTTTTTTTTGTTGATAATTTTTTAGTTTGTTTATAAAATAACTTGTCTTGTTTTTTTTGCCTCTGGTACATTTAACTGTGTGTTTTTTTTAGCTGCATACAAAAGTTGTATTTTTTTTTAGTATTTTTTCTTATGTTTTGCATATTTTTTCTATTGCCGTCTCTGTCTTGCGTTTGTCCCCAGTGTTTGCTACGCTATTTCTTCCCACAAAACTCTCTCACAACTTCGTCTTCTTTCTGCTGCTGCTCCCACAAGCCTCTGCTCTGCCTCTGCCTCTGCTCTGCCTCTGCTTCTTCTTGCTGTCAGCTGCCAACAGCGGCCGCTGCTTTTTCGTTATCTTCTTTTTGCTTTGCATTTTACACATTTTTATAGAAATATAATTTTTTGTTTTTTCTTTTTTGTTGCTCTTTAAAGTTTTCGAGTCTTCTTCGTTCTACATCACACCACAAATTTTTAATTTTGTTTTTTGTTTGTTAAATGTTATATTATTTATATATGTTTTTGTTTTAAAAAAATTAAAATACTTGCTAACAGCGTAGTTTTTGCCAATTTTCAAAATGCCTTTCTCAACGCACACAAATACAATATTTACAGTTACACCTATCCACACACATATACATATACATATATATATATATATATATTTGTATGTATGTATATACACATATATATGCCTAAGCTTTGCCAACTGCCGCTTTTGTTTTTTTTTTCTTGTTTCTTTTTTCTCCTTTTTTTCTTGTTTTTTTTTTGTTTGCATTTTTGGTTTAAAATTGTGAAAAAATAGCTGCTTCTATTGTTTAGTTGTTATTTTGTTAGCGTATTTTCTGTTTAAAACTTGAATTACGTTTAGCTTTACATAATTTGATTTGATGATATATATTTTGTTGGTGTTGTTGTTGTTTTTGTTGTTGTTGTTGCTGTTGGTTGTTGTTGTTGTTGTTGTTGTTGTTATTGGTTTGGTTTTTGTTATTGTTTATTGTTTGCCTGCATGACATCAGGCCGCTTGATCGTGTAGTGTGCGCCTAATTGTGTTGGCCAGTGCGTATGTGTTTCTAACAGCTGTTAATCAACACTGGCTCTGCTTAGGTACTTTTTACAGTTTGCAGTTGTTGTTTCTGTTTCTGTTGTTGTTTGTATAAAAAGTCTTTGATTTGCCTTTTCCTTTTTGTTTGCCTTTTCGTTTTCGTTTTCTTTAGCTGTTAGCGCGCTCTGCATTAGAGACTCACCTGCTGCATCTTATCAAAATCTAAACACGGCCGATGCGGTCGCTGCAGTCTCTGTGTGGCGGCGGCGGAAACATTAACGGCAGCATCCCCCCCGCCAGCTGCAGCCTGCTGCCCGCTGCCGGCAACATTATTGCTGGGACGACGATGCGGCGAAATGGCGCAATGAAATAATTTCGCCGGCGGACTAACCGAACGCACCTCCATGTCGAGGCCGGTCGTGGAGGCCGGACTGCTGCGGGAGCTATTGTAATGGAAACTATATTTGGGCTGCGGCTGGTAAATGTGATGCGAGCTGTTGCTCATTTTCAGAGAGCTGCTGCAGGCCTTTATAGCGCTCGGCTCGTTCTCGTTGCCGACTCCCTCGCCGGCTCCAAGTTTGGCGCATTTGCTGCTGCTGCTGTTGTTGCTGCTGTTGTTGCTGTTGCTGTTGTTGTTGCTGTTGCTGTTGTTGTTGCTGTTGTTGCTGCCGTCGCCGTTCTCCTCATTTACACTATTATCACATAATTTAATATTTTCGATGCCACATCTGGCCTCCGATAATATCAGTGGCGTTGTGGAGCGGAACATCATATGGCTACGATTTGGCTTAAATGCCTCCAATGGCGGCGAAGTGCGAAAGTTCACGGGCGTCAATATTGGCTCCAGCGAGTTGCGCAACTACAAAAAAACAAGAAAGTTTCGTTAGCTCTCACTCGTTACTTGTTACACGTTAGCTATTACTCGTTACTCGTTAGTTTATACTCGTTACTCGTTAGTTTACACTCGTTACTCGTTAGTACTCACTCGTTAGTTTTCACTTATTAATTCTTTGTCCTAACTCTTTAGTTCTCACGCGTTACTCCTTTGGTATCACTCATTAGTTCTCACATGCTACTCGTTAGTTTACACTCGTTACTCGTTAGTACTCACTCGTTAGTTTTCACTTATTAATTTTTTGTCCTAACTCTTTAGTTCTCACGCGTTACTCCTTTGGTATCGCTCATTAGTTCTCACATACTACTCGTTAGTTTATACTGGCTACTCGTTAGTTCTCCCACGTTACTTCTTCAATTTCACTGGTTACTTCGATACAATCGCTACTCGTTACTATTCACTCGTTAGTCCTTTGATCTCACTCGTTAGTTCCCACTCGCTACTCGTCAGTTTGCAATCACTACTCGTAAGCTCTCACTCGCTACTCGTTAGTTTAAGATCTTACTCATTACTCACCTCATCATCGGAACTGTGGGCCAGCGAACGCTTGCGATTCTCGACCATTAGCGTGGAGCTGGAACGCTTCGAACTGGATGATGTGGTTGCACACTCATCGTATGGCGCCTCCGTATCGAGGGACGAGGCACAGCCCCGATTCGATAGACGCGATGCACTGGACGTGGATGCCGCTGCGCCGCTGGTGGTTGTTGTTGTATGAGCCGCCGCCGCCGCTGCAGCTGCCTCGGCAGCGGCCACCGCTGATGGCCCATTGATCACCTCCAGTTCCTCCTCGGAGCTATGCTGATCGTACATGAGATGGGCGCAGGACGACGACGACGATGTCTGATGGTGACACATCATTGCAGCAGCAGCGATCGCAGACGACTCGGATGAGCATGCAGTATCGGTTGTAGGTGAGTTTGCATCCGTACAGGAACTCAAACCTGTTGAGCATCAGAATATGAATGCAAATTCATCAATAACTATTTATGAAGATCGATAAATCGATAACATTTTAAGTATGTGTTCGAAAGTTTATGGTATGCATATAAATGTTGTAAAATGAATCGCGATCAGCTAGCCAGGAATAATATATTCAGGTATCGATAACAATAGATTAATCGATGCATATATCGATTATTTTTAACGTTCCAATCCTAAAAGTAATTTTAAAGTTTTAGCAATTCGATACAATTATCGACTTTGCACTCCGATTGAGCTTTAAGTTGCCGATAAATATCGATCAATTGTATGACTTGAAAGACTAATATCGAATAACTATGTCGTATAAACAAATGCGTTTAGCTTTATCTTAAACATTCCACTGTGATCCAATCTCTGAGAAAATAAAACTTTGTTTTGTTATCGATAAGTTCAATGACTTCTAGGCTTTAATCTGATCCTCTATGCTTGAATTTATTGTTTATATAAATGTTAATTATTTGGATTTGTGATCTGTTTATACGCACTACACACACACACACACAAATACATGCAACAACACACACAATTACTTACTAGTTTCCATATCCACGTCTAAGTGACGTTTGTTTTCCACATCGAGGAGTTCACCATCAGATTCGGTGCCAGAGTCATTCGATTCACGCTGCAAGCATATGAAATGAATTATTAAAATGATTTGATTCATTTTGTTTTGTTTTTTCTATTTTTTGGTTCATTTGAGTTCATTTCTGATTGCCGTGCGTTTTGTGCCCACCTTTTTACGCAGAAAATTTTTCGATGCCTTTAATGAATTCTCGCGATTTTTGTGCCTGACAAACTTTATCATGATTTTTTGCTGTGTGCTTTGTTTTATTTATTACACATTCCACACGCACACATTCGCACACAAACACACACGTTCGTGTTTACGCGACACTGCACCCACAACACAGAAAAACTTACTACGACGACAACGTCGACGTCAGCTGCGGCAGCGACTGCGACGCCCCTCTTTCTGCCGCCTTTTGTACGTGTACGTGTGCGTGTGTGTGAGTTCGTTTGGGTGTCCGTGGGGTCCTCTCGCTCTTATTCCTACTACTATATTACTACATGCTAGTACTTTTTGTGCTGTTACGTTTTACACTCGTTTTCGGTTTCTATTTATTCGCCATCAGTGTATGGTATTTTTATTTGTTATTTTTGCGCTTTACTTTGCTTCCTGATTTACGCGAGAGCTTGAATGCGCGCTCACTCACTCGCTCACACACACACACACTCTCTCGAGAGAGATGTCTCCTTCCCGTTCGTTCACTGTTGCCGCCTACGCGCGCCTGTTTGGCGCGTGTAAGCGCCGTTTCCTTTTTGTGCAATAATTTCAATCACGTTTCATGCGCGGCGTTTTGTTGTAATCCACACCGCTTTGCACCACCCACTGCAACAACAGCAAGAACAACAAAAAGAAGGTTGCCACTTTACATATAGGTTTATTCGTGCCAAAAGCCGAGCTGCACCGAACCGAGCCGAGCCGAGCCGAGCGAGCGCGCACCTTTCGCCGTAACTTATACAGCACGAAATTATCGATTTTCGGTCTCGTATTTGCGGAAGCAAAAGTTCTTTAACAGGACCCCTTCACACGGCCAGACAGCAGTCGGCGGCAGCGTCGAAAAACAACAGTTATCTCTAATAGTGATGGCTGTCGTTTGAGTTTGAGCTTTGGCCCATTGATTCGCGTTATTTTGTTTTTTTGTTTTGTCATTTGCTTTGCACAACATTTGCAATTGCACTTTTTATTTTATTTTCATTTTTTTTTAGTTGCTGCAATTCTCTCTATGGCAGACTTTTCGGCTCGCCGACTTATTACTACTACGTATTACTATCATCACCCGTCACCGGCTAGCGCTGCGCTCAAACTGAAAAATTATGGCCAAAAAATCTCTGCGCTGGCGCTGGAGCTCTGCTCCGGCTGCTGTCGCTGCGCTCTCACTTGCAATTTCTGTACGTCAGTGTGTGTGCGTGTGTGTGGGAGCTTTTTGCACTGGTTGACTGGCTGGGTTGGTATCTGTATGTGTGTGTGTGTGTATGAATAGTGCGACAGGGTGAGTAGGCAGGGGGGGGAGCAAACATGCGCGCACAACTCGTGCCGCTTCGTGCGCCTTCGACAGGGCTTCGTTTGTAAAAATGCAACGAGTTAGCAGCATGCTCGTAGTACATAGTATTTATGGGCAGAAGAAGCAGCAGCAGCGGCGGCAGAAATGGCAGCCAGCTAGGAGCAATGCAATAATGACAACAAAAAACACAGCGAGAAAAAAATACCGAAGCGTGCGAAAGTTGATATAAAACAAAAATTGTTTTCGAGAAAAATGTGGAAACATGACATGAAAAAAGAGTTGGCCACAAATATGGATGACATGTTTGATTGACTCTTGCAGCTAGTTGAACACGTTGTACGTTTCAATCACATTCAATTTGCTTTCAATTTACGCGGAAAATACTACGACCGTTGGCTACGTGCCCCACGAGCACAAGCACGCACGCACACACACACACACAGACTCACGTGCACACAGACACAGAGTGACAAGTGCAGTGGAGGAGAGCACGACAGTAAAACGTAAACGTCTTTGCAGCCATCGTTTTATCCGGAGCAGAGCTTCGCTCACCTCCCCCACTCCGCTTGGACCACGTCGTCGTCTGACTATCGATTCCGCATTGATGTTGTTGCTGGTGTTGTTGCGTCGCCAAGTACTTTTGTTCCATTCATACTGCGCACACACACACACACACACACACACACACACACACACACACACGTACGCACACATGCTCACGCACACGCATGCACTTATGCACAGCACCTCACGCAGGGAGCGAGCGAGAGAGCGCGAGTAAGTCTGACGTTTGCATATATGCATACGCTCTGTGGTGTGGGTGTTTTGGCTGTGGGGGGCCGCCAGGCAGCAGCAGCAGCAACTGCGTGTTGCAGCCTTGTTGGTTTCAGGTCTAAATTTAGCACTAGGCTTGCAACTTTGCAAGGATTTTTTTACACTTTTTCATGCACACACACACACATGCATGCACACACGGACAGCTATGCGTGCAGCACGCGAAAAGCGTTTGGCGAATGTATCAAAATTTTTACAACTTACTTGAGTCGCTTTTTTTCACACAATTATGCAAAATGTGAAAACTGAGCTGCTTGTGTTTTTTCCTGGATGCGCGGGAGAAGGGTGGTTGGGTTATGGCTATGTGTGTGTGGGTTTGTGGAATGCTCCTGCGAGACGCTTGCGAAACGCGAACCAAAAACTATGATCCGAGCTCTGGGCAACAAAACAGCAGCAGGCAGCAGCGAGTGTCGAACGATGAATGGGGCTGCTGCTTTGTACTACAATTCAACAGCGACGGCAGCAGCAGAAGCGGCAGCAGTAGCAGCGGCAGCAGCAGCAGCGACAGGCGCAGGTTGGGGTGGTGGGTGTTTGTTGGAGCACGCGACGCGTTTTTGGAGAATTGACAAAACAAGCGCAAGCAATAGAGAGAGAGAGTGCGAGGCATTGAGAGAACGTGCCAACGTGCATACACGGCTAGGTATATACAATATGTATGTGTTTGTGTGCGTGCGAAATTGTTGCTGTTGTAAGCGCTTTTACGCCAACTACAAAATCCACAACGTTCAGGCCTGGGATGCTGGCGTTGTGCTCTCGCTCTCTCGCTGTCTCTCTCCCACTCTCTTTCTATTGTGTGTTTGTGCGTGGCTTGCATAAAAGGCAACCCAATAGACATTTCTCTAGACATCTAATGCAATTAACTTTTCAATGTCAAGTCGCGACGCGCACCCCCATACACAGACACTCACACACGCTCACACACACACAGCACAGACAGCGTGGCTTTCTATTACATTCCACACTATAAAACGGCACTAGCGACACACTCCCCCACAGCTACTTACCTCACCTGCTGCTGTAGTTGGTTAGTTTTGGCTGCACGTCATCCCTTCATCGTAAATGTTATTGCTATCGGCTGCGTTGATGATTTGCTTTTCAATTGGCTTCAGTTTGTGGTCTGATATGAATGTTGTCCAAAACGAAAAGCAAGAGTAAGTTGCGGGAGAGTGAGTGGGTGAGAGCACAGGAGTGGGGGCTGTCAAACCAGCTGAGCGACAATGAAAGAGGCAAACAAGAAACGCGAGCGCAGTTTATGACGTCATTAGTGACCCTGCTGGTGAAAATTTGCGAAGCTTGATCAACTGGCATGGATTATGTAGCATTCAGCTTAATGTCGTGGACCAGCAGCTTATTTGAATTAAAGTTAAAATACAAATATATTAATATATAAAGGATTTGCCGGAAAGAGCAAGTTTTTGATTTATGCGTAAATGTTTTATTAACATATTATTTAGCACGTTAAATATTGCAACGTGAATTTCACAATTTAACGGAAACAGTTTTCAAATGGCGCTCTACTTCAAGCCTATTGCTTATTATTAAATATATTAATGAAAATTTTAATAAACGTTTTTCAAAATATATATTTACGCTTTGTGCTGTTTTCCGTTACTGAAGAGGGTCAATTATGACGTCAAGAGCGCCAAGTACACAATCGATAGTTTTCCTTGGCATGGCGATGTATCGATAAGCTGCCAGCCATCGAGCTAAATTAATCGATATGTAAAATTTGAACTTGTAACGGATAAAAAGGTGCTTTTCGTGTCTGTGATAATCTTTATTATGAATTTAGAAAAGTATCTATAAATAAATTGCATAAATAATAAAATTATACATGAATTATTCGACTTAACTAAGCTATGCATTTATATAATTAGCTAATACGAGTAATAGGTATGCAAGAGTCTACTTAACTAATTAAACAGAACATTTCGCGCACAGAAATCAGGGAATTTTCTCTACAATTTTTCTTTTGTACAATTTGCTGGAAAATACAACGGCATTAATCTCTGTGCACTACGTGGACATATACAGACAATCAATTAAACTATGTACATAAATTTAAGGATTTAAATTTGTCAAATAATTTGCAGCCTAATAGCAAAAATAAATTGCTAATCTGCCACGCCTACAATTTAATGCATTTAAGCTAAGTTGAAAGTAAATATTACTTATTCTGGCTACATGGTCATTTTCTTTTTTTTTTTTGTTAGTTTTTTTCTTTTCTTTTTTTGTGCATATATGTATAGAAACTTTACAGCTTTTTGCTAAAAACTAATGTCTTGTTTGTTTTTTTTTTCTTTTCTGTTTGCAGACAATTTTCGAGTTAAAAAATATGTTTTTTAATTTTAAGAGAGAGAATCTCAATTGTGCAGTAGAAACTACCATAACTTGTGCGGTTGTGGTGGGGTTTTTTCTTTTCAGTTTTTGACAAATGGTTATCAATTTTGGATTTGATTACTTCTCGTTCTTGAGGGGCATGCCCTCCTCCTGGGCGACGTCGCCGTGTTTCTTGCGCTCCGGCGGATTGTTCCAGGATTGTAGCTCGCCGGTGCCGAGGATAACAAAGACGACGGCGGCCGAGATGTAGGTGCCCGCCAAAATCCAGAAAACAATTTGCCATTGATGGAAGGAGGGCTAAGGGGGGTTAAAAGGGAATCAAATATTATACCATCCCGTGCTTATTGAATGATGGATAACTCACATTCTTGAAGGTCAGCGCGCCGACCATCCACGTGGACAGAAAGCCGCCAAAGGAGGACAACGAGTTGGCCATGCCGAAGATGGTGCCACTGAAATTGGGCGCTATGTCCAGGCCATTGCCCAGGTAGCCGGCGGTGACGGCGCCATGGGCGAACAGGGCCAGCGTAAAGATCGCCACCGACCAGGTGGCATCCATGCCGAGGAACACCTGAGCCACCATCAGCAGGCCGGGCGTTACGAGTGCTAAAACAGAAGAGGCAGAAAATAGGATCAAAATAAGGAGCGCGAGATTTTCAGGCTTGGATTATGCAAATGCAAGCTCTTTTTCTATTTCCGCCAATTTTTCACGGGTGCGCGTGAAATTGCCATAACCACTGCAACTCGTATTCATGGGGTTTTTATGTTATTTTTTTAAAAATAAGTTTGAAGTTCCTCAAAGGAAACCTAAGGATAATATCTCTGGAGACCCATTCCCCGCCCAGTTGTGGTGGATATTACGAAAAGCGTGAAACACTTGTTGTTGCATCCGAAACCACGGCCACCTACTCCTTGGCCGCCATTTTCATCACGGAGTGGTGGATTTTAGGAAAAGTATGAGAATCGTCTCATATAAATTTTCGTTAAGATGAGTTTGTATCCGAAACTTCGCCTAATTTTCGGTCTGCGTTCTTCCCACGGAAGGGTGAATATTACGAAAAGGGTGAGACTGCCTCATTTAAGCAAAAAAAAAACAATGATAGAGCCCAGTTTTCGCCTAGTTGTAGAAGGTTTTACAAATAGGGGGAAACATTTGTAAAAGATTTTGAGTCCAAAACTTCGCCCAACTAATTTTCGGCCGGCATTCTCACCACGGAATGGTGGAATTACGAAAAGGGTGAAACTGCGTCATTTAAGCATAAAATCTTTGAGCCCAATTGTTTGCCTAGGTGTGGTGGAATTACGAAAAGGGTGAACAGTTTTTGAATGAGTTCGCAACCGAAACCCTTAGAATTTTCGGACTGCATTCACCACAAAGACGTGGATTTTAGGAAAAGGGTGAAACGTGTCTCTAATGAATTTTCAACAAAATCCCTGAGAATTCGCTTGAGGTTGATCGGATTATAAACAAAACAAATTGTATGCAACCTTTTTCCGCTGTTTTTCCACACTTGCGGGTGGAATTTCCGAAAACCTAGCTGTGAGTTGATCATCAATCAGTCAGTCAGTCAGTCAATCAAACAGGATCAACAGATTTAGCTTGTTCTATACAATTTTTAATGGGTTTTATTTTAAATGCAAAACCTACCGAAAGTGGTGAAGAGCTTGCGTGTTGCTGTGGTGCTCAATGTGCCCTTCTGGCGCAGATGATCCGCCAGATAGGAGGAGGCCACGGCCATCACATATTTGCCCAGATAGGGCAGAGACGAGAACAAACCGTTCTGTAAAATAGAAAACAAAGTAAAGCTTAGCAACGGAATGCACGGAGGGCAGGAAATAAAAGACTCACCTTCTTGATGTCAAAGTGCAGAATCTTGGACATGAATGTGGGCAGCTGATTGATGACCGTGAAGAAGCCAAACACGGAGAGTCCATGCGTTATGATTATAGCCCAAACGGCCGGCGAGCAGAGCAACTGGCCCCAGGGCACATAGCTGGGTCGCTTCTTCGAGGTGGACGTGCCGATTGCCTCCTCGATTTCGCGTCGTTCCTCCGCCGAGATGCGCGGATGCGTCGCGGGCGTCTCGTAGACAAACGTGAACCAGCACAGCGACCAGAGCAGCCCAATGGCGCCCGTCAGATAGAAGACACTAGCCCAGCCGCAGACCGAGATCAGGTAGCCGCAAACGGGCATTGTAATGGCAGCGCCCAGCGAAGAGGCTGTCAATTGAGGGAAAGAGAAAGAATTGGGGTTAAAAATTAGATAGGAATATAAATCAAGGGATGTAATACTACAGGGGTTCAGTTAAGCATGAGCAAGATCTATAAACAGGCTCAAGCGTGCTTCTTCCCTCTGCCCCAGACTATGCATGGGAAACGCACACTAGATTTACTCGGGTAATCAGAGTCTGATCTGATCTGAAATTTTCAGGGATTAATTAAGGTGCACTCAAGTGTGTGTATACCAAAGCTCAAGATTCTATCTTGAAATATAGTATTTCTGTACGATCTATCTTGGGAATGGGGGGAGGTGTCAAATATATGAAATATGTTTAATCTGAGTATTCCACACTAGAACCTACATACCAAGTTTGGCTTGTCTAGCTGTTATAATTCTCGAGCTATGCTTAAGAAACCATTTCTGTAAATCGATATATATCGATTTTATGGAAATGGAAGCAGATATCGCGCAAAAAATGATAAACTACGGTTGTGTATAATGCAGGAGAAAATATATTTCAAATTGCAAGCCTCTAGCTTTTGTACTCTTTGGGATCGATAAGGACAGGCGGACAAGTCCTATAGATATTCCCCATTCCCTTCCTTCCCTCCCAACTCTTCGAGCTACTCACCCATCATGTTGGACATGAACTTGGAGCGATCCATCGGCGGTATCCAGACAGCGGCAACGGGATGTATGGCCGGCCAGGAGGCGCCCAGCATGAAGCCGAGCGCCACACGAACGACGATCAGCATGACGTAGCTCATGTGGGCGGCGAGGGGCGTGACCAGGGTCAAGAGACTGGCCCAGAGCATGGAATGTCCGAAGACGCGACGACCGCCAATCAGTTCGGCGAGCCGACCGCCGGGCAGCTCGGTGAGCACATAGCCCCAGAAGAAACAGCCGAGCACAAAGTTCGTCTGGTATGTGTCCCAGGGGAAGCGCTCCTCGTAGACATCGACGCCGTCGGTGCCGTTGGTCAGGATGCCGCCGCTGGGCGCCAGGCTCGAGGTGGTAACATTCCCCGCCAGACTCTCATTCCCCATCGCCATATTTGCTGTGATATTTGGCATAACCATGTCCACAATGGCAATCGTGAGGTTCACTAGGTTAGAATTAAAGCGAAATAAATCAAATGGGCTGGACATATGCTTTATTTGGCACTTACCTCGCAGGGCATAGTTCAGCATAAAGCCGAGCATTGTCAGCAGATTCAAGACTTGGCGACATGATAGCAGATCTGCAAGACCCAAAAATAGTTGAGAGATTAGAAGAAGTCTTCTTCATAATTTTGTACATATATATATTTATTTAAAAATAGTAAAAAATTCTTTAGAAAAGTTTTTATATTTAATACCCACAGCAGAACATTTTGTGTTAGTTCACGAACTAGTTCGCAGGGCACGTCAATGTGTAAATTATTGCTCGGCAACAGTGCTGCCAATCAATTTGAGTGTAGCCCAAGGTGCTGCCAGTTAATTGAAAGCTTGAAAAAGTGCTGCCACTCGATTAAACTGTTAACAGTTGACCAAAGTGCTGCCAATTACAAAAGAAAACCTCCCATATTAAACTAACCAAAGTGCTGCCCATTAGTTTCAGACTTGGTTAAAGTGCTGCCAATAATTAAAAAATAAAGCCTATTGCCGCATGTGAACGGCAAATTAATTAAAGAGTTGACCAAAGTGCTGCCAGTTAATTTAAATCTTTAATAAGTGCTGACACTCTATCAAAAATATGACCTACTCGCACATGTAAACTGTTAATTAATTGAAGAGCTGACATTGTTAGCACTAATCATTAAAAAATTAAGCCTTCTCCCACATGTGAGCTGCCAATCAATATTAGATTTGACCAAAGTGCTGCCAATTAGTTTAAGACTTGGAAAAGTGTTGCCAATCATTAAAAAATGTAGGCTACTTCTACATGTGAACTGCCAATCAACTTTAGAGTTGCCCAAAGTGCTGCCAAATTATTTAAAAGTTGGAAAAAGTGCTGCCCATCGTTAAAAATTACAGCCTTCCCCCCCACATGTGAACTGTCTGCAGCAAAATTCAAGGCCTTTGTCAAGTTTAATCAAGCCAGCTTCCAAAGAAGGAGACCTCTTCTCAGTTTTTGTTCTATTGAGGTATTTCACAAGAGCTCTGAAAAAAAAACCCATAAAAATATAAAAGACAACTTTCGATCGGTCTGACTATTATCAAAATTAATACAACAAATGAATACGTTATATATTTGACATGGAGGCGCGCGTGTGTGGAATATTCCTAGAATATAACTCAGGCAGATAAGAAACGGGCCGCGGAGACCTGAACAAATCGCGGATCGGAAGTTCGTATTCGCAATCGGGAACCGGTTCGAACCGCTTTGCAATTAATTTGAACCTGCTTTTCAAGACAACTCGAAAAGTCGCATCCACCTGAAACTATCGAGAGCGCCTTTTTTTTTTTGTGTAAGACTGATGTAATACGTTGTTTTTATTACATGGCTCGCGCGATAAGCGCATTTATTAACTTTATTAACGATGCGATAAAACTCATTAACAAACTAACTGTCAATATTTGACCTCAATACAATGATAATAATAAAAACGACAACCGAATTGCACATCAATTTGATTTGCCAGATGGGCGCGGCTCACGCCCAAAAGGCGAAGTCGGGCTATTAAATTACAAGCGAATTCTCCGAACAAATTTAAAGGCTCCTTTGTCATGGTAAACACATTTAACATGATGATTATTTAACATGATGACGATTGTCAAATGTGGTCATTAAGCGAATCGACTCTTTTTTCTTTCTTTCTTTCTCTTTGCGCATCTCGTTAGTTATTGAAGATTAAAGAGCCAAAGTGCATTGAATTGAAGTGAGAGGAAAAATGCGAAAGGCCGATTCGTAATCAACAAGAAGGAATGGCTTTTTGTCAATGTTGACGACGACTGAATACCCTTTAGTTAATTTGATATGAATTGATTTGGATTTTAGCTTGACAAGGGGTTTGAATCCCAGACTTCAAGGCTTACGCTAGGAAAGAGTAAGCAGATGTAAGGCGATGTGAGGCTGTCATAAACAAGTCGAAGCTTGAATACCCTTCATTCTGTACGATATGAAGTATTTTGGTTTTCATATTGACGGAGAGTTTGAACCCCAGACTTCTAGGTTTACGCCAAGAAAGAGGAAGAAGTCTGAAGGCGATTTCGTAATATTGACGAAGCCTAAATACCCTTTATTTTAGCGGTTTTGTAAAAAACGAAACGAAGCTTGAATACTCTTCACTGTGAATGATATTAAATATTATGGCTTGTAACCTGACCAGGTTTTAAACACCAGACTTCGATTCATAATATAACAAGATGTTGTTGATGTTGACGAAGCTTGAATACCCTTCACTGTGTATAATACGAAATATTTTGGCTTTCCACTTTATTAAGGGATTTGAACGGCAGACCTCGGGCGCACACTACGCTAAGGAAGAGGAAAAAGGGGGAAGGCGATAAACGAGACGAAGCTTGAATACCCTTCATTGTGTATGATATGAAATATTTTGGATTTTAAGTTGAGGAAGGCTTAGTCCACTACGCTCCGGCCAGGAAAGTACGGATATTGTTGGTTTTGACGAAGCTTGAATACCCTTCATTGTGTATAATACGAAATATTTTGGCTTTAAACTTTCACTATGTGTTTTAGCTTACGACTTTGTCGTTCCACTACGCTAAGTGTGTGATTTTTTTTAAACAGAATTAAAATATACAACAAAAAAATAAATTTATGTATATAATATATGTAAATATACATAAAATACCGATGCAATTTACTTTGTCCTGCAATATCCCAAGCTACTTTTTCACACCGAAACTTTCCTCAGCCAGTTCCTGGAAGTTACATGCACGCTTTAAAAAACACAATGCCCGCTGTAAGGGTATATTATAAAGACGTACAAAAAACTGCATTAATTTGGAATGCCATTGAACTCGCGGTCGAAGACGGCGTCCAACTTCAATTTGCGACAGTTGCGCGTGTGCATACAATTTTTTTTCCTTAAACATTTTTTTTCCAACATTTTTTTGTACATTTTTTTGTACATTTTTTTGTACATTTTTTTAAGCTGATGTCAGGCAACAAAAGCGGCTTTTTGGCTGCAATCAGCCCAATCGAAGCGAAGCGAGAAAGCGGCCGCGTCTGCCACTCGACGTTATCAATGGGCCCGGACACCCCCCTCCCCCTCCCCCCTTCCTCCCCTTCCCCTTAGCTCGACTTGGCCAGTTGTTTGGCTTATCACACGGCACGTCTAGCGGCTGTCTAGCCTGGCCACGCCCACCTGTTTAGCTTTTTTTTTTACTGCTAATCAAATGCAAACACATGCACAGACATTGAGATACGCGTATCTGAAAGATACAACAGGCATAAAGATACAATTGGCATATTTTAAACAGCAACTCGCTACGATTCCCACATTTAATAAATATTCCATGTCTGTGAAGCGTCTAGATACTAGAAACCCCTTATCCCCAAAAAAAAAAAAACCAGTAAAGCTTGCATGCATTTTAAAAATGTCATATGCAAATGCGCTCAGAAATTGCAACCTGTTTTTTATACCCTGAACTCATTTGAAATGGGTAAAAAGGGTATTATGTATTTGTGCAAATGTATGTAACAGGCAGAAGGAAGCATCCCCAACCCCATGAACTATATATATTCTTGATCAGCATCAACAGCCGAGTCGATCTAGCCATGTCCGTCTGTCCGTCCGTCTGTCTGTCCGTCCGTATGTACGAACGCAAGGATCTCAGAACCTATAAGAGCTAGAGACTTGAAATTTTAGCTTTAGGTCCTCCTAGTCCTTGCGCAGATCGAGTTTGCTTCCAATAATCGATAACTTGCCCCGTTTCCAAGTTTTGGTAAGTAATATGAGCTAGAGTCACCAAACTTGACATGTAGCATATGGAATAGTATATATATATCAAGTATATATCATTTCACAGCTATCGCCTGTTGAAAGCAGAAGGTTCAGGGTATCCCCTAGTCGGGAGCTCCGGACTAGAACCTCTTACTTGTTTTTATACTCTTCCTACACTCCCGAGACGACCTTCATAATATTCTTTCTTCTTTCAACTATTTTCGAGATATGCATCTAAAATCATTTTCGAAAATCTTAATGCTTAATGCTGGGGCTTTAATTGGCTTTGCATGAATCGCTTGATTGGGGCTTAACGTCATGGAAAACTTTGGATGCAATGAAAAATAAAAAGCAGAATTCTAGTATTCATAATTTCTTCGATTTGTATCGTTTTATGACACTTTAAATCAATGCTAAGTGAGCGTGTCTCTGGAAATGCTCATTGATAGGCTCCGATAAGAGCACGATTCACGCTGGGGTTTATTTATAGCCAAACATTTACAATAGCTATAAATAATGCGAGCATTACGAGAATGGAACGTCTAGACCGGAAATAGCCGAATTAAATGCTTGAAAAAATGATCAGATAAGCTTTAATATTTATGGAAATTATTTATAAATGCAATTAATTAAAATATTTATTCGTCACAGCTGTTCGAATCGAACCGGTTCGATTCTGGTATTACAATTCATTTTGACTAGTTCACAAATCAGCTGAACCCAAACGCGAACCGAACTAGATTTTTATCAACAAGATTTTTAGGTTTAAAAAAAAATTGTGTAAAATTGAAAATTAATATTTTGGATATATAAAATCTGAGTTTTGGGTTGCGGACTGAGAGGTTCACGAACTGAACCTCTAGAGAACACTTTTTATAACAATTTCCAGGGCTGCAAGCTCAAAAAAAATAATTGTCTGTAGTTCAGTTCAACTTGCCTGGAATTTCAAGTAATTTTTACTAATCAGCTGAGCCAAAACGTGAACTGAACCAGATTATTTTTTGAAAAATGTTTTGTGTTTAAATTAAATGTTGTAAAATTAAAAATTTGTTTGTTTTAGCAACATTTTGTTAATATAAACTCTCCGTTTTTGGGTTGTGGAACCAGGTTCACGAACTGGATCCGCAGACAAGAAGCTGCTTTAAAACCGTGAACTGAACCACAGAACATGGACTTGCAGCCCTGGTTATTATAAAAAGTGTTCAAAATGTAAAATAATATAGACATTTATTTGAATATGTGAAATCAGATTTTTGGAATGTGATATTTGAGGTTCACGAGCTGAACTACCTGAAAGGAAACTCCTTTGAGCCGTGAACTGAACCACAGATCATCTTGCAGCCCTGGTA